AGCCACCAGGTCTGGGACCTACACCATGGTTGGCCATGTGGGAGTCCAGTGCCTTAACCACCATGTCACCTACTGGCCCTGAGAGTGCGTCCTTCTGACCCTACCTTCTGCCACCTTCTTTTTTTATTTTTCAACTAATTTTGTTCTATAATTATGAAAAAAAAATTTCATGATTCCAAAAAAAAGCTGTAAAACAAGATTCGTTTAGAGTAATTTACCTTTATAAGCCTGTCCTTTTCTTTATGCTTCTTTTCTTCCCTGTAGGTAATCATTTTGATTAGTTTTTCATTTACTTCATTTTTTAGAACATAAGGAAACATATGCACATTTATTTTTATCTTCTTTCTCCCATAAAAGATAACTTTTTATTTACACTATTCTGCACCTTACTTTTTTTCTCTCAGCCTATAGCATCGTATGTATCTCCTCATATCATTCTATAGATGCATGATTCTTGGCTGTGTGGCAATGATAGTCATTTAGGTGGCTTCCAATCTACCTGGGTCTTCTGAAAGTTTATGAAAAATGTGTACTATGAAAAAACTATGTGTGGATTTCAAAAAAAGTTTTGCACCAAAATAACGGTAACAAAATGTACCTTAATTTCACTTTTCCATGAACTTTTTGAAGTCCCCTTGTATTTATGTCCACACATATCGGGCCTCTGATAGCAGCCACTTTAACAAGTGAGTGCTTGCATGAGCTGGAGTCACAGTGAGATGGGTCTTCCATACCTCTATGAATAATGTTTTACCAGTATAGGCTTTAGAATAGATTGAGAAGTGAGTCTATGGGTTAAAGGGCAAATGCAGATATAATTTAGCTACAGAGTGCCAGCTTCCTCTCCACAGAGATTATAAACAATTTCTATTCCCATTAGGGGCGAAAAGGAATTCTGCTTCCTGATAGCTTTGTCAGTAAGGTATGTCAGACTTTGGATATTTTGATTATCTCATAGGTCAGAAATGATTTCATTGGCATAGGTCTTTTTTTTTTTTTTTGAGAGAGATTTTTGTTATAAGGCACTTGCGCTTGCTGTATAGACAGAGAGTTGAGAGACAGAGAGCGAGAAATCGCCCCTCAGGGAGGTTGGCCACACAGTCATCCCTTCTTTTCCATTCTCCTCTCAGGAATTTGGGTATACACGCACATGTGCCAGGCATGAGTTTTAAGCTGCCGGGTCCACTACGACTATGGAGTCAACTACAACTATGGAGTCCAATGATGTAACCATTATGCTATCTGCTGGTCCCCAGCATAGTTTTAATTAGCTTTTCTCTTATGAATGAGATTAAGCATCTTCCCATTTATGCTTTTTCAACTATCTTCATATTTGTGCTTGTTTTTTTTAGAAAGTGTTTGTTTCTTGGTTATTATTGCTGTTGCAACCTAAAAGGATTATTCTTTCAGTGTTTTCCCCTAGGGCGAATAATATGCACTTCCTTAAGCAACAGAATACCACCAGGCTTGTATGATTAACAAACAAACAAACAAGGAATAAATCTCTTCTTTATTCAAAGATGTCCCAGTCTAATTTGTGGGAGGAGAAAGGCTTCTTTGAAAATCATCATGGCTCAGTGAAATAGCCATAGCATGACTTGAGCAGGGCATGGTTCAGCCTTAAGTGTTGTGCTGGATGACAGAGGTTCCCTGCTACCTAGTGACAATTTAACTCTAGTTGGGAAGGGCAGGCTTCTTATGCCTAAATCAAATAACAAACTAAACGGAGCCAAGAAGAGTGTTCCTATGAATCGGTTCATTGGAATACTGACACAAGCAGAAAACAGGCAAATATCTAGTCAAATAAGTAAAAGGAAAGAAAAGAAGTCATCATAAGCATGAAGTGCTACAGATGCACTAAACTCTTGTGCGTCCGTGGGAGACATCTTTAAATGTCTGGGAGCCTAGTCCCTTTCAAGATGCCACTCAAATGGGCCCAGAATGCCTTTAAGTCATCAGTCATGCAGTCCAGGGACTGTCCACTCAGACAGGGCCTCTGGAAGCAGCTGCTTAACAAGTGAATGTTATGAAAAGTGGAGCCACAGTGAAGTGTGTCTCAAGTAACAGTTCAAAGGTACTTATAGTCCCCAAAGACGTTATCTTAATTTCCAGATGTCAGGCTGGAGGAGAAAGGTCATGGAGCCTACTAGCTCATTAGCATATTGATTCATATCAGAAAGATCAGCTATCAGTTACAGCAGATATTAAGACAGAAATTCGTACTTTCAAAATGGAGTTAATATTCAAAATAGAGTTCATGTTAGCAAAACACCATCATGAATAAAATGTAAGCTTTCATAGATTCAATGAGAAGTCTTACCATGACAAAATACACACCATAACAATATGCAATGTTTGAACTGAGACTTTAAGGAGGATTGCTAGGCTTACTCTTCTTGGGCGAGGCTGGATGATCAGAAAGCTTGTATTTCTCTCTCCTTTTTGTGTCTCATTTTTATGTACTTTATCTTTGAAGAGTCTCTAAAAATATGAAGTGGATTAGGGTCAGAGGAAAAGGGTTGGAGAAGGGAAATGAGAAGATTAGTTTTGCATCTTTGAAAGGTAACTGATGATTGCTGAGAAAGACAGCCTGAAGAAGGTTCACTGTAGACTAGACAGTGTTCTCCAGATTAACAGACGCAGCGTCACCTAGGACCTGGTGAAAAATACAGATTTCAGATCCGCTGAGTCAGAAGCGATGAGAATTGGGTACACCAATCTGGGTCTCGTTTGTTTCCAGTGCACACTAAAGTTCGAGATTAGAACTGTGAAGGTCAAGTAGGCCGTATCTCAGTTTGCAAGATGTGTTTCATGTGAATTGTGTAGTAGAGCTTGTTGAAATGTTCACTGTGTCTGTGTTTTACATCCACAATCAAGAGAACTAGACTAAACATCAAGAATTTTGTGATTTTGTTATTTTTATCAAAACTCAATATTAAAAGATCTAAGGGGCTGATGGGTGGCATGATGGTTAAGGGTGCTGGACTCATGTGGTCGACCATGGTTCTAGCCGCAGAGCTGGTGGCTTACTTTCTCACTTTATCCTTCTCTCTCTCTCTCTCTCTCTCGTCAAATTAAAATAAGGAAATAAATAAACATAGCTAAGTAAAATAATTATTTAAATAAAAAAGATTTGAAAAATTGGGATAGTGTGGTGATATACTTGAAAAAGGGAAGACAATGTGGGATCATGTGGAAAAGTAAACTACAGATCAGTAGTTTATTTGAGTAGAGTAAAACAAGTAAGAGCTATTTAATCGTGAATGCTCTAGATTTTGGCTGCATATGACATTGATTTGTAATGTGGTACTTAAACCTGCAGTAGGGGAAACCAGAGATGGTGTTAGGGACCAGCAATTGGCATAATGGCTATATCGCTGGACTCCCATGTAGTCAACCATGATTTGAGTCCTGGACCTGGTGGCTTAAACTCACACCTGGTGCGTTTGTGTGTGTGCCCAAGATCCCGAGAGGAGAATGGAGGAGAAGGGATTGTGGTGTAGCCATTCCCCTGGGGGATGATTTCTTGCTTTCTGTTTCTTTGTCTTTCTGGCAAGCGCACGTGCCCTATACCAAAAACCTCTCCAAAAAAAAAAAAAAAAAAAATGGGAGAGGGGAAGAATAGCTGGTGGTGTTGTGGTTAAGGGATTGATCCCACATGGAGGATTGTTCTGTTTGAGGCCTGGACCTGGCAGCTTGAAAAATATACCCTGGTGTGTGTGTGTGTGTGTGTGCGCGCGCGTGTGCATGTGTGCATGCCCAATGAGAGGATAATGGAATAAAAGGGGTTGTAGCATGGCCATCCCCTCTGGAGGGGGATTTCTTACTTTCCCCTTCTTTCTCTCTGTCTCTCTCTGGTAAGTATATTTGCCCTATAGCAAAAACTTAAAAATAAAAGGCAGGGGGCCCGGGAGAGGGAAGAGGGAGACATAGATTCTTTGTGGAGCCCAAGGGAAGGAATGGTAGATTTACTCAAGATTTGTTAAGATGCAGGATCAACAGTTGGCGTAATGGCTTTCTGTCAGTGGGCTTCCATGTAGTCCACCACAGTTCAAGTCCCAGACCCGGTTGCCTAAACTCATGTCGGCCGCGTGTGCGTGTGTGCCCAAGATCCCGAGAGGAGAATGGAGGAGAAGTGATTGCGGCATGGCCATCCCCCCTGGGGGGGTGATTTCTTGCTTTCTGGCTCTCTGTCTCTCTCTGTCTTTCTGAGGAGCACATGCACCCTATAGCAAAAATCTCTCTAAAACAAAACAAAACAAAACAAAAGATTTGTTAAGATGCTTGGGCCCGCAGGTGTCATGGTGGTTAAGGTGCTAGACTCCCACATGGCTGACCATGGTTTGAGTCCCAGACCTGGCACCTTGCTTCCTCACTTTCCTGCTCTATCTCTCTCTCTATTTTCAGTAAGTGCACATGCCCTATAGCAAATTAAAAAACAATGATAACAATAAATAAAATTAATTCTTTAAAAAATGATGCTCTTGGGCAGTCAGTTAATACAGATATTTAAAAATACTATTTTATTTATTTAATAATAAATATTATTTGTCTTATTTTATTTTAGTTTTCTGTAGGGCATGTGCACTCACCAGAGAGAGATGAGAGACAGAGACAGAGAGCGAAAGCAAGAAAGCAAGTCTCCAGGTCCAGGACTCAAACCATGGTCAGCCATGTGGAGTCCAGCACCATAACACCACACCACCTGCTGGCCCCCATACAGCTATTAAGAGGTGGTCTACTTTTGCTCTTTATATGATAAGTAGCAGCTAATATGCATTCAATCCAGATTTTTTTTTTCCCTTTGAGGTTGTGAAGGTTGTGGGTTTAGTTTCACCCTTGTTGAAAGAAAACTGAGTAAATCTGGTAATCTTGCTTTACTTTCCTCCGTTAGCTTTCACCCCTACGTTAGCTTTCCTGGGTGACCAAAAGTCATGTAAATACCAAAATTGCATCGTAAAGGATAAGTAACCTTTTTTCTTCTTTGGGTTTTATTCTAGGATCCATCAGTTACACAGGTGACAAGAAATGTTCCACCCGGACTTGATGAATATAATCCATTCTCGGATTCTAGAACAGTAAGATTATTCTTAGTTCGACTACTTCGCATATTTAAATTGAAATTAAATAGGAATTATATTTTGGTTAGATTATCTTTTTTAGTTAATTGGTTAAACTTACATAAAACAATTTAGAATTAGCACGTTAGGATTTTGTTTTAACTTAAAGAGTATCAGTAGTAATTGAAAATTACCACAATGATGTTAGTGAAATAAGTTTTCTTTTATGTTCTATAAGCTAAATTGCTAATGATCCTTCCAATAGGTAAACCTTTCTGCAATAATCAAAATTCTAGGACTTAGGGAAGTGCTTCTTGGGTATACATATTGACTCCATGGTAATGTTAAATCATTCTTACAGTGGCAATTACATAAGATACTATACTATGAATGTGTGTATGATTGTCATTTGAATTAGTTTATTCTGAATAGTACCAGCTTTCTTCTTTATAGGCTAGAACCTCTAGAAATTTAGTGTCTAGAAAAGCATATTGTTCTTCTAAAAATTTAGTCTTGATTTATGAAATGTAGGGGTATAAAGAAAGTCCTTGTGGAGCAGTTGGTTTGCTACCCTGATGTATTTTAGAAGCACCTGGGGAACTTTACTACACCACCCATTAGGGCCCTACTCTCTTACAGTTATGGCATTTTTTTTTTTGTAGTTTTTAAAGCTCTTGATGATTTTATTATGAGATTTTAGAATCATTAAGGTGGATTCTGTTGAGATTCCCCACCCCCCAGGTTTTTCTGGCAACTAATTTTGTCTCTTGTATTTAAGTCTTTAGCTTAGACTTCAGGAGGGCTTAAACTCAAGAGGTCCTTAGTTTTAAACATTGTTGGTTCTTAAAATGCTAGTTACCCTCTGAGAGATACTGAAGTTTCTTCATTTTATGATTGGATTTACATACAATATATTGATCCTTAATTGGTGATCACCCCTCCCTGATAAATGTTTTCTGTAGTCTATAAAAAATTCTGAAAAATTAAATTTTTGCTTAAAAATTTTCAAGGTGTGTCATATTAACTCTTTAGTTTTAAAAATGATTTTGACAAAGTTGTGATAGTAAGGAACAAATATTTGGTCTTTTTCCTCAGTACCTGGCACACAGGTCTTAAAACCCTTGGGATTTTCAGAATGATAAGTCTTTTGTATGCTAATGAGGTGACTGGTATGTGCAGGCCCCTAGACAGAATGGCTGTAGAAAGAGTGCTAGTCACCAGAACTTGATTAAAGGGCTAGAACTTTCAGTCCCATCTCTGAGGAAGAGAGAGACTAAAGACTGAGTTGATCAGTGGCCAGTGATTATTAATAAACTATGCTTATGTAATGAAACCTCCATAAAACTCCCTGGATGACAGAGTTCATAGGGCTTTGGTTGGTGACACATCGAGTTGCTGGAGGAGAGTGGGACATCAGGAAAGCACCTGGTAGCTCTTTGCCTCCCCCTCATTCACACTTTGCCTCATGCATTCCTCCATTTGGCTGTTCCTCAGTTGTATTCTTCATCATAAATTGATATTACCAGGAAAACTGTTTTCTTCAGTTCTTCGAGCCATTCTAGAAAGTTTGTCAAATCTGAGGACGAGGTGGTCCTGAAAACTCCTGACTTACCGCCCTTGGTCAGAAGTACAAGTGGCAGACTGGAATTTGTAACTGGTCTCTGAAGTGGGAGCTGTCTTACCCTGCTCTCTTAACCTGTGAGATCTGTGCTAGTTTGGGTAGGTGGTGTCAGAACTGAATTGTAGGACATTGAGTTGGTGTTCAAGTTCTTGGAGAATTGTTTGCTGTAGGAAAAAAATCCCCCACACATTTTGTGTCAGAAGTATTGTGTGTGGGGGGGGGGAAGTCCCAAAGTTAAAAGCATTAACATCAGAATGTATTTTTTTTTTTTTTTTGGAGAGATTTTTTCCTATAGGGTGCATGGGCTCGCCAGCAAGGCAAAGAGAGAGAGACAGAAACGAGAAATCATCCCTCAGTGGAGATGGCCATGCTGCAATCCCCTCTTCTCCATTTTTCTCTCGGGATCTTTCTTGGGCGTGCACGCACACACGCCTGCTGTGAGTTTAAGCCAATGGGTCTGGGACTCGAACTGTGGTCAACTACATGGGAGGCCAGCAACATAGCCATTATGCCAACTGTTGGTCCCAATATCAGAATGATCTTTTAAATTTCAAAGCCCTCATTTGTTTATGTGTAGCAGCTGCATCCCAGACTGGGATCTATAAAATGCTCATTGAACATGTGAATTACAAGTTGCACCTCACGAAAGGATCAGTAATTTGGCCAGTTTGGGTATGTACAAATGGTGGTTTCATTTGGTTCCACCTTATAGTAAATAAGTGCTATGAATGTGAGAGAGTGATTTTTGGTAGTACTTGTTGACAGGGAGAAAAGATCAGAGTACTGTACTCCAGTATATATGTAAGTTTCTGGGGAGTGGAAATGGGAATAAAACTGTTTAAAGTTTGCTGATAAAGAATGACAAGATTTTCATATTATCTTTCAGAAAACTTCACTAGCAAGAAATATGTTTATCCTTTTTATGGTAGCAACTTTAGATTTCTCTTAGTAGTAGTAGTGGTCTTTGTCAAGTTGTCTAGTGTGTACCATGTGCTTTATCTATGTTATGTTGTTGAATCTTCTTAACAACATTCAGTACGGGTTTTTTTAATTTCTGTCTTGCTGATAAAGCATCTGAGACGCAGCTATTCTAGCTAGTAAGTGGCCGAGCTGGTTTATCTGTTTTCTGTGAAGTTGCCTTTTCCATTTTACTAGTGCTGTCTTTAGAGAGCTCTTCTATTTCTACTTAGAAATAGAAAATATAGTCCTGATTTTTGAAAAATTTCTCACCTAATTGGGATTTTGAAAATTATACATGTACAAAGAAGATATCTTCAAGACAAGTAAAATATACAAATTTATATTGTATTGAGCCTTCACAGTCACAGAAAGGTTTTTCTGAGAGTAGTTCTCTTTTATTTATTTCATGAGTGAGGCAGAAACAAAGATGGGGTGGGAGGGAGATAAAGAGGGATAGGAGAGAGACAGACAGACAGACAGACAGACAATCGCTCTCAACAAAGTCTCGTGCTGAGATCTAGCCCCCCTTCCCTCCCAGCCAGCCAGGATCAGGGCACACCTGCCTGTTATGTACAGGTTGACCTGAAGACCAAACCAAGATCCTCCACATGGCTTCAGCGTCACATGTGCAGCATGTGACCACTGCATCCTCAAGCCTGCCCAAGTAGCCCTGAGTAGTTAGTTAGGCAATAAGGAGAAGCCAATTTACAATGAAACCACTTCTCTTAGATTTGACATGTTTCAGAATGAGGAAAGTTATTATTACAAGATTACCTGGTACATTTTTTTCCTTGTACGCTTTAAGTGATGAAAGACAGTTTAAAGAACAAAAAGAAATAAAACATTCATTTTTTCCTATATGGTATGATCTCAGAAGTTTGTCTTTTTTTCATGACCATGACTTATCTTCTAAAGCAAATTAGATGTATTTGGATCATTGATTTAAGTGCTATATTAAAGCTCAGTCCAAAGACTGTTTTAGTTGATTGGTGGCATATTTGTTTTAGAAAAATATTTATGAAAATGAAGCTTCTGGACTATTACATAAGGGTGTGGTGAGCTACTTGAATTTAAAAGGGGAGATCATCTGGCATTGTCTGGGAGTGTAACCTTGCTAAGATTTAGAAAGTTCCTGCCCTGAAATTGTTGTTTAAAAAAAAAGTTTCCTTTTATACTTAATTTTCTATTTGGGATGAAATTTTAAGGTATTTATGAGGGCTCTGAGTGAAAATCTTGAATATTGTACTTTATGTATGAATTCACTCTATTGTAAATTCAGAGAGAGGTTTGTCACATGATACCTGAGATGGGCTGACTCACTCTATGTCTGCAGGGCACTTGAAATGTGCTGGTCTGAATCAAGATTTGCTATGACAATGGAGAGCAGTTTTGAATTATGAAATCTAACTTTTTTGTTTAAATTCAAAATTGATTTTCCTGTTGTGTGATAGTGGTGAGGTCTACCTGCCTGCCCTCTACAATCTAATACATAAACTGTCACTAGTAGGAGAATTATCCCATCCTTGAGAACTACTCTCTATTTATGGAAAATGTTTTGTTTCTTTTTTTTTTAAGTAGATAATAGTTTAAAATACCTATTGCCTAGTTTGAGTCTCACTGGTTTAGCCACTGGAGATGGCATTCATGGCTTTGGATAAGTTCTTCTGGTGGTATTAACAAACAGGGATAGACACTGTGTTTGTGGGCACTGGATTTATGCAGAGCTGCCGGTGTACATCCTTAGGGACATTTCTCGGGGCCTAGTTTATTGTTATGTTCTTTTCTTCAGAGATAGTTGCCTAGTTCCTTTTCTATTCTGATAGTTGCTCCTATGTATGAATTTTCTCATACCTTCTGGCAGAAAGAACCATGAAAAGAAAATTCCACCCATTGACAGTGAGGGGACATGCCCAGGTGGTCATCTTTGACCTAAGGGACATAGATAATTAGTTTATATAAGAAAGAACTGCCTCTAACATAATTTAGGACATAAAGACCTGAATTTTAACATAGGCTCTGCCCTACCACTAATTAACTTTTAGCTTTAGGCAAGCTGTCTAATCTCTTTGGACATTATTATTATTATTTTTTAAGTTTATCTCTTTGACAGAGTGTTCAAAAAGTTCATGGGAAATGTGTACTATGAGTAAACCATGGATTTTAGCTTTTTCACACAAAAATTATAAAATACCTTAAGTCCATTTTTCCATGAATTTTTTGAAGTACTTGTGTACTTCTTTCATGAGAGACAAAGAAAGAGGCAGGGAGGGAGGAGAGCACTCTTGATGGGGTCTCATCCCCTCCCGATACCCCACCAGCTTTTCTAGCCAGCCACAACCATGGGGTGCTTGTGCCAGCTGCCCCGGTTGATCTGAGACCTGAACACTGCCTCTCCTCAGGTTTTCCTTATGGCTTCCTTTACCCTAAGGCTGGGCCC